TGGCTGCATTGTTCTTATTCTCATACAGGGTTGCCTGTGGTTCTGGAACCTCCAAACAATTCATCACTTCTGAAAACTAGTTATTCATCCTCTGTGGCTTCTCGTCGATGGGTAATTAAAAGATTGGACACTATGTAGGACATCATCCAGCTCTGAGCCTGCTGTGGCGTTATTGTTGGCAATATTACGAGGCCTCATGAGAGACTTTTAGACACAAGTTCTTCCACAGCCTATCCAAACAATAGCGTGAGCTGTTTCCCGAAAACGTAAAAAGCCAAGGGTGGGTACTGTTGCTGGATCATTTGTAATCTACTGGTGTTAACCCGGTGCTCACTGAGATGGACCCCACACCAAATCCATCATAAAGTATTCCCTAACATACAAATAGCAGCCCTATTGACCCTGAATAAGATTCCTCCAGAACCACAGCGGAACTACCAATCCACAAAGGACCGGTGAAGAGTACAAGAATAAAACAAACGGACCCAAAGCCAGAAAAAGAGGAGGAAGTGTGAAAACGGTTTAGCGACGGGTTTTACGAGAACTGGATGGACAGAAAGACCAATCACCAGCTATCCGTACTTGTTATATACCTATGGGTGGGCGACCAAGGAGGAACATGACGATGCATTGAGGTGGAGTAGTGTATCTGGCCAACCATGCCGGCGCTTTCAGAAAACGAAGTGACTTCACGTTCATCTGGATTCTTGAGATTTTAAGAACGATCTGCGATAAGCTACGAGATGAGCGCGTAGGCTACCCGCTGAGTTTGTTGACAGCGACTTGGAAAAAACCACGCAAAGCCGAGCGAGGTGAATATATTTAGGTTCCTTCTTCCGCAGAGCTGGTTGACGCAATGCGAGAACTACCGATCGTAGAGTTAGGTCAACTTTCGATGAAGGGGACGGGAGTGAAGCACCCCCACTGCCAACCACGGAGCTACGTAGAACGCATATCCTATCCTGTTAGTAACAGGGTTACACAAGATGGAGTGCAAGTTCGCTCTAAGGCAGTCAGTGTGAAAGCTAGCCCCTGGCAATCCTTATATACCTGACTTTGAGAAATGGCAAGCAATCGACTCTAAAAGGCATTCTGAGAGGCTAGTAACGGTCACTGAACTAACTGTCATCACAGCACAGTGACGATAAGAGCTCTATGATAAGTCTATGACCGTCCACGGGGTAGACGAAAGTGGAAACCTGGAACCCTTCCGAATATAGCCTTGACAAGACACATGGTCTGATAAACAAGCTCTTACCAGTCACCCTGATCAAGGCATCTGGGGTGGACAAAAAACAGACAGTCCCTAACGAAAGCAGGTTTTGGCTACTAAACGTCATGTTCAAATCAACGGAGGGGAGGTCAGATGCCCAAGAATCCTCACAGACTTCAAGGACCCGGGGTGTCCGTGCTCAGGGATTTGGCCCTTGTCGATCAAATCAAAATATGACAAGCGGAAGAACTAGCATCCAGGTTGGAAGCAGCAGAGTAAGATTAAAAAGCAGCGAGTTTCCATGTGATGTGGTGTCGGCAACAAATGGTGCCGTAGCCTCGGGGTAGGGCGGAAGCCTGTTTGAGTTCATTTATCGCCTCGTATACAAGCGCACACAGCCTCATAAGGAGTAGATTGAACACAGTAATGTGATAGGCAAAGAGAGTCCTGACGTCGTTTTTATGTCAGAGACCTTGATTTCTTCTGGGATCATTGACTGTGAAACGCATTTACTAGGACTCGTTCCATTAAGAAGTAATAGGTTACGCGCTAAGATGGTGGTGTCATCCTCTACGTCAGGATAACTTAACTGTAAAAGCCATAGAAACGGTTTGACATGAAAGTGGGGCATGTGAAGTGCAGCGTTACCGACTCGAAGGCAAGGGACAATATATTGACTTAATCGTAGTACATCACGGCCCTGAATGTGAGACGGAAGACTTTTTCCCAAATAAGCTGACCCACTGTACAGACAACCGCCGACGCCCAGTTGTGGCAGACTTCAACGCACCATCATTTGACCGGGATAGACTAGCAAAAGAAGCATCACGTAACTCGGCTGTCCACCTGTCAGTGGAAACATCCATCCCGTCAGCCCTTATGCAGCACGTTAGGGTAGCGACCAGATATTGCCATCGGCATGCTCTATTGGCTCCAGACATGATATTCTGGTTCACAAATGATGTACACTCCATCCGGCACCCTGCACCCCTCTGTAAAAGTTACCACGCTGTGGTCACCTTCAGATTCACAGCAGACGTCTTGACGGCCTATTTGGAGGACTGCACGCTCGATCCAGATCCCTCAGTTGAGGCTGCATCGTGCTTCATCGAACAGTTATACGCACGGGTGAGTCAACTATTCATTCTGCTGACTGTTCCGAAGGAATGAAAACACCGTACTTCGTGGATAAATCACGAAATACGAATCTTGCTACTACGCAGGAAAAAGTGTTGAGGTCTTGCCACCGACCTCGGCACTCGCGAGGTGATGAAGCATTGCAAAGAAGCCCAAGATAAACATATCGCTGCTATCCACTGGTCTTGAATACGCCTTTCCAGGCTGCGTTACAACATCGAAAGGGGTTATTTTCTTGTATTAACTATAGAAACAAGGTGTATCTTGGTATACCCACCCTAACCCAGGTTACAGAGACTGCTTGTTTGAATGAAGACGATAAGGAAGGACTGGAAGCTATGGCCGGATATTTTGCTACGGTCTACGTAGGAATATTCTGTTGGCACTTATCTGGCGGTTGAAGCACTGACATTCATTACGTGGCCTCCGCAGACATTTCTGTTGTCTGACGAACCTCCTTAAGGTCAGAGAAAGTCGGGTTAACTCTGGGGATGGTAGGGTGCCTCTGGATGTAATTTTCATAGATCCCAACAACGGGTTCTGCAAAGGGGCTTCATTCTAGGCTGCTCAGGAAACTTGAAAGCTTTGGAGTTATCGGCAACCTACTTGAATGGATCAGATAGTTCTTCGTGGATAGAAGACGAATGGCAATGGATCGATCCTCAACCCTCCTTTTGGAAGTCGGTAGAGAGTGGAGTGCCGCAAGGCACATCACTGGGTCCCTTGCTATTTCTCTTACACATAAATGAGCTGACAAGTATCACAAAATCCCCCGTGGTTATCCACGCTGCTGATGTAAATTCCTGATGAGGAATTAAGAATGACGTGGATACACGCACGTCTCAGACAGACACAAACGGCTTCTTTGCCTGGTCAGAGAGGTGGCCGATGTCTACCAAGACGGGTCAGCGTGTAATTTTCCACATGGGGCATACAAATGGCAACATCTACGATATTGGTGGGGCTCCTCCACCATCAATACTGACCCGCAATAACCTAAGAGTCACAGTGAGTCATGGGTTGAAGGCCACGGTACACTGTCGATCAGTGGCAGCTCGGAGCTTTGGGACACTCTGAGCAATGCGTAGAACGTTTGCAAAGATAAGTGGTGATATATTCACCATCTTACAAACATCCTTAGTTAGGTCTCAATTAGAAAACCGTACATAGGCGGCAAATCCTTATCTGAAAGGTGACTCAGAACCTCTGGAAACATTTCAGAGGACAGAGACTTGTACGACCCCTGTGACTGCTGGCCTGACCTACGGAGATAGTCTTAAGGGGCTGAACCTTTTATCTTTATCCTATCTCCAACAGAGGTAGAATCTAGTCACGATATACAGGATTGTAAGAAATGACTTTGGACCTGATCTATCTCCTCTTTTCCCCCTCGCAATATAGGGACGCCTCAGAGGATATTGTAGGTGGACACAAAAGCAAACAGCGAAAGTGGTCTCCGCAGAGCACTGGTTCATGCGCTGAGTAATCAACTTCTGGGGCCGGTCCCCAGTTAAAGTGGTATCTGCATCACCAATTAACTCGTTCAAAAGGGGGATTAGACAGGCAGAGAAGTCTACTGGAATAGGATGAGTATAGGCTCAGAATCTTCCACTCTCGAACAAAATGTCTGAAATCTGAAAACGTCGGTGCGTTTCGACTAACTTCTTGCAGGATCACTTTCGAGCAACCCAACGTGACAGAATAACGTGCTAGACTGCCAGGCGCTCGGCTGTATACCTTCATCTTAGCAAGGTTGTCAGAACTATGAAGATCAGCAGCGATGTTGAATATCCCGAAACACCAGGCTATTGTTGTGGGGTATTATTTACGAATACCAGGATGATTTTATAAACCAGACCCTCGTAAATAGTGTAGTGTCACACACTTCCCCAGAATCAGTAGCCTAGCGTTCAACGAGATTCAACGCTGACGCTGACCTTTATTATTTGACCGGACTCGCTAGGCTGAAGGCATCCGGTCAAGCATCCTCGCCATTCGGCAGGCTACCGTGTTACGTTACACTGTTCGTAATTGACCATCCAGCCAGTTAGTTGGAACGCGTCGGTATCTTGGCCCGATCTCGCAGATGTACTATTCCATCCGACTACGCTATTGTGTTTTTTCTTGGTCTCGTATTGGTGGGTATATGGAAAGTTCGGATGATTAGTGAGTGAACTCTGCGTCTGTCAAGTTTGCACCAGGATGATTCCTAAAATAGGACAAACTTTTCAAACTTTCAGCTGTTCAGTGACATACCTCCAGTCGAATTGAAGTAGGTTTCCCGGTATGGCTTTAAAAACAGTAAAACCTAGAGCGGCACAATGTATACAGCATGCCATTCTTATTCTCAATCATCTCTTATTTACCTGCCATCATAACTGCACATAATCGTTCGATTGAACTTCTGCTAAAACATACTTGTGGGCTGGGTGAAGACATACTATGGTCTGGTCGTTACAAGATCCTGTGCGTAGTGTGAGCTGATAGTATGTCTGCTACATGAGACACTTTAAGGGCACCAAATGTGGTAGCCACCCGAAGTAGTTACAACTTCACTTGTGATCTGAGGAATATTTCACTCAAGTTTTCAAGATCTTTTGAATCTTTTGCTTCGTGTATTTTGTGAACGTTTGTTAATGGCTCACATGTCAAACACGTTAGTTGCGACCTTGAAATATTGGGTTCGTCTTTTCGTCAGTTGCACCCTTGATTTTACATTCGAGTTATGGGTCAGTGTTACTCAAGGTTAATATGAATCATATTAAAATTTCAGTGACTATTTAGGCCCTCAGTGAAGCATACTTTTCTAGAGACTCATTAACTGTGTTCTCTTGGTCATTTCCCTTTGAGCAATTGCGCAGTCAGTTGAAAAATGGAGGTAATGCAAATGAATGTGGTAGAGATGTCTGTTGATTGGTTATGTAAAAGGGATTTTTACAGTGGGTGTGGGAGATCGTAATAATGATATGATAGCCATGGTCAATATTCAAGAAGCTGCAGCTTCCACTTTGTGCGTACTTCGGATTTTGTTTTTTGAGTATTCCCCGAAAAATATATTGAGCGCACCCCTCAGCTTTTGGGTATGTCTCTAGATCTGCAGTCTTACACCGGTCGACCGAAATCAATCAAACATACACTGCTGCTTCAAAGTCTAAATGCATTTTTATTGATTTATTAATCACACAGTGTAAGTGTCGTTTACTGGATTACGTCTCGGACATAATTTGTTGTCCATAGTCATATCTTGATATTTCCATGTTACCACAGTGCACAAGTTTTACTCTTATATTAATGCTGAAGCATTCTGAATTCAGAATCTGTTTTCATTCTTTTGAAAAATTTGAGTGCACTGCAGATACTGTCAGTTTCGGTCTCTTTGGAAGTCTGGGCAAACATTTAAGCGGACTTCGCAACTTTTGGAATCCTTAGGGAAACGTTTTGTGTTTTCTGGGAATGTAGATGCATGTCTGCGAGCTTACCCAAACTGGTTTTGTAAAATATTATCTAAAGGACTGAAAGTGCAGCCATAGGGTTCTCCGCTTGGGAAGATAACAATTGGTTTGCTTCTTTTTACATAAATAACCAAAACGAGCAGAAATGCAGAAATAATGCTATGGGTGCTTTGGTTTGGTGTGCATAAATATGAATTTTAAGCGGATTTTCACGCATCTCCTGCATACTCTTCGCACCGCTAATTGCTCTTTGAGGAGGCATTTTACGCATATTCTTACAATAATAGCGTCGGACGCTTAAAGTGTCAAGATATTTGCCTTCCTTATTCCACAAAAGCAAACTTCTGATTGTCGTACATTGTAACTGCTCACTGTTGAGAACTGCGGAAAATGTGTTCTAATCTCCAGTTGCCAATACTGAAACAAGTATATAACACACTATAAAGAAATCCCACAAGGCTAAAGACAACCATGAGTTTGTCACCAGTTATCAAGCTTCTCATTAATTCCTGTAAAATAGTTAATTGGTATTTGTTTTTCTCGGTCGAACAGAACTCTTTAATCAGCTGAATAGGTCCAACTTTTGAATATGAATATCTATTTAGCCAAACTTCTCAAACTTACAGTTTTCATCTGTGTAAAACTGAAGGTAGATGGGCATAAAGGTGACGGTTAGTTAGTCACTTCTGTTTCCTCTAGTCATTCACGTTCAAGATATACGAATCATCTCAGATGTTGACAACTGCTTGGTTATTTTTTGGGAGGTGGGGTTTAGATGTATTCATGGTCCTGCGTCATCTCTTATAACCAGCATCTGACCAATCAACTTAGAACCACGCACAAAAGTACAGCGGTCCAACTTGCCACATCTTATTGGAAGTATATGGTAACTAATAAAAAGCCAGTTACTTGGTTTATGTAATAGGTTTGGTTGGTGTTTCAACACAGCTAAGTCCAATATAATTAAAGGCAAATATATTCTTGTACCCTATTCTACGTTTTAAAGAACAAAACTTGTGTTTTAGTAGGTATTCATATGATTTTCACTACTTGTTTTCCGAAGCTTAGATTTGTTCTTTCTCTAACCAGGATATCATGCTTCTGATTATCTTGTTGCCTTTTGATAGCACTTAAATAAAGCATCCAATCAACCCATAAGGATGCCTGAAGACAATGAAAGAAGAGCCTGTTATATACGGAAAATTCTGTTTTCGTCACAGGAATCAAAGAGGTTTGATTAGTTAAATGTTAAAATTCGCAGATGTAATGCTTTTGATGTTGACTCTATTCTTAGTGAATACGCGGAGTTGGTCGATAATATGAAAAATGGTAAATAATGGAAGTTCTGTTCATCATGTAGGAATTAACAATTACGCTGAGGGTGCACTTAAGCTTGCTGAAGGGTGTAGAAATGGTTTGTTTGATGCTCATTATTCATATTGGTCAGAGAGTAACCATTGGCGCAGTGCACTGACTGTTGATATGGCCTTGAACACATTAGAAGGAGTTGTAAGCCTAACTGACTTTTTATTTCTTTTTCAAGACAGTTGATCAGTCATGTACTTTTCCTAGGCAGTCAATACCTAATGATTTTGATGTCGCCAAGTGTAAGTGATCCATTTTATAAAACTCTTTTCAGTTTGTAGTGCTCTGTCGCGATTGTTTGAGGAGGAAAATCCTATTAAACCGGTAAGTAATACAGTTTCCTTCAGCATACATCAAGAGTTTTGTATTGTTACCTCAACGTAGAAATTATATAAGGAAACTAGAATAAGTGTGGCAAACCGAACAGGTTTCTGGGTTGTCCGAACTGCGTATTATGTTCTTACATACACTATATTCTGTTCAAATAAATACCCATAAACTTTTGCGTTTGTCTTCGTACTGACATCCGACTTCCATTTACCTCAGACACGTATTTACGGAAGAGGTAACTAGGCATTTGTCTGGACATGACAGCGATTCTTCTCCTAATGAAGCCTAAAGATTTAGTCATTCTGCCATAGAAACACCTTTAAACATAGTAATATACATCCAAAGGTCAACAAAAGCCACTTTATTTTCACAACTTTGTCCAGACTGATTGCATGAAGATTCATTCCATTTGACTCTGATCACAATGAAGAGCGAAATCAGCTCTAATAAGAATCTTCGCAATAATCGCATGCAGTGGTGGTTGGCGGAAACAAGAAAGATGAAGGCATCATTACTACTCATACTTGACAGTTCTGTAGACTTATTAAATATATTAGCAAGAAGACGACGATCAGTAAGACTCGCTGAGAAGGATAGATCCATGATAACCTTACAAGACTGGAGGCTAGAACGTTGGAGGAACACTTCGGAGAATAGTTTAACCAACCTTTTTCCACGCTTCAATTGCCCAGCATCCAGCCTAAGCCTTATTGGCCACTGATATTGGTCCTCCAAACCTTCTGGAAGTTAAGCAGGTTGTTTCAAACCAGAAACGATGTAAAGAAGCAGAATCTGGTGGTTTCTCACGAGTTTGTTGAGATGGAAGTAGGAGATTACTGAGTAGAGTAACAGATACAGGGGTAGTTTCACCAAACTTTTCTAGATCATTTATCATTCTAGTCCATAGGAAGGGGGAAAGGAGCTCTTCGTGAAACAACCGCAAGGAGATCAGTTTGTAGAATGTCGTTTCCAAGATCCTATTTTTCATAGTTATACGACACCTAACTGGAGCTCGAAGATAAAAAGCTCAGTAAAAGCAGGTGGGCTTCAAACCTGAGCGATTAGATCTCCATCTTTCTCCAGGTCATAGGATACATCCATGTTGATTGGTGGCCATCTTTTGCCATATTTCATGATCTGAAGGCGACACTTGACTCTGTCGACCACGAGGTGTTGTGAAACTGTCTGGCTGTGAATGGTGTACCGGGTAAATATGTAGTGTTAATCAAGGCCCATTTCTCGAGCTCATGGCGGAATAAGGGCGTATGGGGAGTTGTCTTCTGAATGAATCGACGATAAGTTGTGGTGTCCGTAAGGGATACCTACTGCTGCCGTTCCTGTTTGTTTTCGTTATAGATGCACTAATAGACATAACTTTAGGCACTTTTGACTTTACAGGGATTGTCCTACTTCTTGTAGGTCATCTAGTTGACTTGGAGTGCGCAAATGACATTCTCTTGTTAGGCAAATACTCTGAAAAAACGCATGGTCTTCTAATCACCTTGAGCGGAAATCCGAGTCTGTTTAGCATACGTTTCGCACCTCTCAAATGTAAGATAATGCTTCATGACTTGTCCGCAGCCACTCCCAACCTAATGATACAAAGTGAAGTAGTTGGATACATTGGTCACTGGATTTAGTAGTTGGCGAAATTTCATCTCGGATACAAAAGGTCCGTTTGGTATTTGCCAGCTTGCATCACCTATTGGGCTGGTGAGTTGTCCGAATACCTATTAATGAACGAGTATACAGCGCTGCAGTCTACTCTGTCTTAGTGTATTGTTGTGAGGCATAGCCACTGGAAAGAATATCAAGACGTTACTGACTTTTGACTACATTTATCTTTAGAGCATTGCTTACATATGGTGGAATCACAGTGTGAGCAATGTCGAGGCTAAGCGGTGAAGGCGAGTTAGTATATGAGATTGTGAACCTCCAATAACATAGGTGGCTTAAACATGTGTTACATATCCCGAGCCGCCACCTTCCTCCACGTATAATCTTAGTTGAATTAGGACTAGCCTGGGATAAGGCTCAGGGTGGTCAGATTAAGATGTTGCACTAGTCCAGGATGTCTTTAACTGTTGGTCCGAGCCGTGTAGTAAGGAGTAGACTATTTAGTTGGGGTCCTCAATATAATAAGAATCAAAGTCCGGAGAACCATGGTGACGACTGAAAATTGTTCACAGTGTTACGGATGTATTCACTCCTTGATATCTTCTTAAGTTTGAATATTTTCACTAACTTTTTTCGAATGCTTTCTCCTCCCATACGCTTTTTGCCTACTGTGATATCACTCTCTATCCACTAGGTTTTTGCCTACTGGTGTAAATTATAGCAAATTGAACCGATGCGCTTCTGTGGGAGGTTTTATGTTGATTTAATCTGTGTGACTGTTTGCTCTCATGGTACTTTGGCCTATTTCTTTTGAAGTTCCATTTCGATGTAATTTTAAAGAAATTGTCTGTGTAGCCACTCAAGCTGATTCATAGTTCATTTATTCACTCCCAGACGAGGTAACTGGAATGATAGACGGAACAGTTTAGTGGAGAATGCATTTAGCCTTTACCTACCCTTGGTTTATTTATTCATCCATCTGCAGTTGTAGTAGGACATTGATGTCCGGCATCTAATGTTTGCAACGTTAAGCAGACGGACAAACTTAGAATGTCACGTGATGAAGTTGTCAGTGGTAACAAACAAAAATTAGTAATAATATTTTTGCAGTCATGAAAAGTTATTATTATTGAAAGGCGCTAAATGAAATTCAGCTATGTGATATTATGGTTTATTTGAACTAAGGGTGCTTGTACACCACTCCTATCTATTTCGTTCGTTTGCTAGAGTCTCGATTAATTCTCAGCTGAACTAGATAACTTACAAGACTCAAACAGATATTCAAACTTGATGAATTGAAGCTGTGTTGCAATATGACTGCATACAATTTTTTAACCGTAAGGATTTCAGCTAGTAGCGCATTGGCGTAAACTATGTCTCAGCATCCGTAGTAGCCTCAGTCGTTGAATGCTAACATCAACAACTAGCTCTACAATCTGATATTTTCTTCGTCTTGCTGATGGTGGTTTCACCATACGCAAGTGATGCTTCCAAAATCCCTAAGCTTTCTTAAATCCTCTGCTTTCAATTGTTATTGTTTTACACTGGTAGAGTGAAAGAAAAATTGCGTTGGTGTGCAATACTATTCGTTCTTAATAGGCTTTTGGATATCATATAAGCGTTGTAAGCAGCATACTTAGCGAAAGATGATTACACTGTTTATGTGTTCAGGAACTTATTAGTTCTGATGCCATATCCCTACAGAGTATAACGGGTTATGCATATCTATCGAATTGTAACTGGTTGGTTAAGTCATTCGATTTTCAACTAGCTTGTAGTGAGTTCGAATCCCATTGCATTTGCCAAGGTTTTGATAACCAAGTGGTATCATTATTCCTTAGAAAATATGTGGCTCATAGCTTGGTACACAGAATTTCGCATGGTGTGTAAGTTGTGTTCTTGCACATTCCTCTTTCAAAAGTCTCTAAGGGTATTTACTTAAAATTATCAGTTGAACTGAGGTATTAGTTATATTTTCAGAGTCAGACATGATTCTGGTATTTGACTTTTCTATTTTATAAAAAAGACAGAAATAGCCTGAGCAGCACGGTTCATAATACCTATAGCTATTCAGCACCTGCAAAAGTGGAGCTTAAGAACACCAAGCTTGAGACGTGTATTAAATGCTTTACTGATGCACCAGGTTTTAAAGTACAGGTCGTACCCAATACCGTATTTTGTGACTTAAAAGCTGGATTCGATTCCGTTGGTAAAGTGCTAGCGCGCTAGCATCCGCTGAAAAGGAAAGGTAGCAAGCTTATTATTTCATTGAAGCTTTCGTGTTTGTGTCTGTTCTTATGGTAAGCCATCATTTTGGGTAGATAAATCAACTAGTATTTGCTAAATATGTTCACTCTATTTTTGTCTGACTTTGTTATAGATGTAATACCCTAGATTGTGCTCCTTTTTTGACTTCTCAAGTATTGATCTTATTTAATACACTTTATTTAACCCATATTACTTGGATAACGTGCTTGATGCAATCTTCAAACTATTGTGTTTTTTTACCCTTTAAACACGAAATATTTCCTCATGACTGATCCTATTTGATTGCGGGGAACGAAGTTGTACACGTTGACCACGCCACTGAAGGGAAAAGGTGAATGATGAAATTTCTGTGGGTACACATTTGCCCTACTTGTGGTGTCAGTTCACTAACCGAATGAATTTCAAGTGTCTAGTATCATACTGAGGAATACCGTTTTACTCGCGGTATAACGTGACCATCAAATGTGGAGGACTTGTAGATGCTATACTTATTTTCTCAGCGTTTTCGTAACATCTCACATGTGTTGGAATATGTGATAACTTTTTATCACATTCATCTACCGAATTGTTATGGTAAGACTCAGTGATGATATCACCTGCTGTTGAGTCACAATCACAGTTTGGGGGGCTAGTAAGCATTCGTTTTTCTCACTCTTCACATTTTTACTTGCATTTCTATGGCATTCACCTGTGTTAGATGACATTATATCAGAGTGAAATTGACCATTAGTACTCTACTCCAAGTTGTCTCATTGAACTGTACGTCCATCAAATAGATCTAGTGGACGTTGAAAGATTTGATTGTAATGGATGTGCAAAAACATTAAATTGAACTGTAAGCACGATTGGAGTTAGCTGAGATACAGGCTAACCGGCTTCCCTATCACTTCTCAAGCAACTAGTAATTGCGTAATTTCTTCACCTCTATGTGTTTGAAACGAGGCATCGCTGGCACTGTGAAAGCCAATTAGCAATTAAAAATCTCCATACCAATTTACTTAAAGGAAGCATGTCATCCTGTTAACAGTTCTATAGACGAGTAATTGAATATAACTTAAGTAGTTGGAAAGTTGAAGTAAATATCCAGTTATGCAACCATGAGTTTATAT